CAATCCTCCCAACGCGCGATCCCCCACCACCCGCGCCATCCATGCGATCCCTCCCCGGTCATTCCCCACCCACTGTGTCAGTATCTCAGAAAACACAAACTGGGCATCCGACATGAAGAATTGGGGAGCAGAGAGGGGCGCCGGGGACATCGGAATACTCACTTCTCTCTCTGTGTGATCTTCAGTTTCTTTTCCAGCCGTCGCTCGATCTCCTAAATGTGTAAAACATGAAAAGAGGTCATGAGAGGCCGGACTATACACGGCCTCCATTACTACAGATGAGGCCGGACTATACACGGCTACACGGCCTCCATTACTACAGATGAGGATGGACAATACACGGCCTCCATTACTACAGATGAGGCTGGACAATACACGGCCTCCATTACTACAGATGAGGCTGGACAATACACGGCCTCCATTACTACAGATGAGGCCGGACAATACACGGCCTCCATTACTACAGATGAGGCCGGACAATACACGGCCTCCATTACTACGGATGAGGCCGGACAATACACGGCCTCCATTACTACGGATGAGGCCGGACTATACACGACCTCCATTACTACAGATGAGGCTGGACAATACACGGCCTCCATTACTACAGATGAGGCCGGACAACACACGGCCTCCATTACTACAGATGAGGCCGGACAACACACGGCCTCCATTACTACGGATGAGGCCAGACAGGAATATACCACAAACTTCACATTCCATCATTTCCCAGGAACCTGGCAGCGGCCTCTGTGTGATTACCTCTCCTGATTACTGACAGCTGAAGGCAGAATACAGACATGGGAGCCGCCGCCCCCAACATGGGATTGCCAGCCATCCAGTCCTGAGATTTGCACAGCCCTGCCTGGCAGGGAACCGATAGTCCTCTGCTGCAGGTTTATTCACAGCTCTCCTCTCCACCCCCGCCCGGGGACTGAACAGTGAAGAGAGGAGCAGCAGACTGATGAGGTCCACTCTGCTCTCCCCTCCTATCAGCATGCTGCATGCAGTGCCAACACACTTGGTCTCTGCAGTACATACGAGGGTCACGTACCCCGCCATGTCTGGGGTCTCTGCAGTACATACGAGGGTCACGTACCCTGCCATGTCTGGGGTCTCTGCAGTACATACGAGGGTCATGTCCCGTCTCTCGGGGCCCGGGGACAGATCTGCACAGGAAGTGGCTGACACTCGGCATTTCATGTCTCTCCCGAGTATTAATAACAGCCGGGAGCCTTAAAGGGGAATCACCCGCTATTTATAGCACGATGTATGGAGGGATCACTGCCGGGATCTGACACTGCGAAATGTCAATCTATAGAAGGGCCGAGGAGAGGAGTCCTCTGATTGGTTGCTGCAGCCAACCTTCTCGACTGGGGCCCCG